GAAGTCAGGTTTCATCGACAAAACAGTGGAGGTGTACACACTACAATGCTCCTTCTGCCGACAAAACTCTCCTACTTTGCCGACAAAATAAAACCACCTTGATGAGAGGCATAGTTTTTTGCGGCAAAGTTATACTGACGAAGTGTCGGTGTAGACACCGCGCTTGGTTATGTCGCTGTAAATGGCCTCCAGGAGGTGTCCCACAATGCCCATCCTGACCGCTCTGGGCAGCAGTTTGAACTTTGCTGCCCTGTACCCAGGTACATAAGTTTTCACCCCTCCCTGTTTAAAAGGCCCGGGAATTTTTGAAATTCCACTTCCTGTTTTCTCGGCATGGAGAACTCACATCGCAGCTTCCCAGCTGACTGTGGCAGCTCCTCGCAGCAACTCCCAACAACTCGGGTGTTCTCCAAGTGGAGGAATCTGCTGGCACTATAGGGAGAGGAGGCTGTGCAGTCCCAGCTCCGCTCCAGCCCTAGGAACTTCAATACCTATAGGCAGATTTCTCGTGGCTTGTTGGATAAGGGCTAGCAATGGGACACGCAGCAGTACCGTGCGAAGATAAAGGAGTTGAGGCAGGCGTACCAGAAGGCAAGGGAGGCAAATGGTCTCTCTGGTGCTGCGCTGAAGACCTGCCGCTTCTATAAGGAGCTGGACGTCGTCCGTGGCGGTGACCCCGACCTCCACCTCCCAGAGCCCCGTGAATACTTTGGCAGGGCTGGAGGCAGCGGATAGTGGACCTAACCCCAAGGACGAAGTCGTGGACAAGGAGGTCAAGTTGGAGGACAATGGGGAGCACACAGCAGGTTCGTCCGGTGGCATGGCGAGTCGGGACCTCTTTTCCACTCTGGACCTCTAGCCAGCCCCAGCAGTCCGTCTCTGGCACACATGATCCGTGAGAGAAGAGCCCTGGTAAGTGATCTTTTTGAGTTGATGCTGCTTAGTTATATGAGGTAGAGCTGTCCTTTGCTCTGTATGCTCTAGAAGTGGATGAAGGGATAGATATGTACAAGACTAGCTGTGTTTGAGTGTGCTCCACATTCCCTTGTGCAGCTAAGCAGTGCAGCGGAACAGTGTGTAAACGCACACCAAGATTTCACGGGAATCCTCCAGAGAGATCTCTAGGAAACTTTCCTGGAGGTACTCACCAATCCTGTGCCAAAGGTGCCTTGGCAGAGCTGCTTTGTTCCTTCACCTATTGTAGGAAACTTTCCCACGTCACTTGGCAATCACTTATGCTGGGACCCAAGCGGCACAGGGACCGGGTCTGAAGCCGCACACATGCAGGAGATGCACCCTTGCATTCCTGCACATCCTCAGGAGTGAGATACTGGCTTCTGCCACCTTTTTCCGCAGGCATGGGTCATTGAATATTGTCCCTAGTCACCTGCACTGTTCCCCATAAATAACCACCTAGACCCTTTGCCCTATCTTGAATGCCAAACCCCACCCAGCCCAAAGTCACCATGTTTAGGGTGTTCACTGGGATGTGTGCTCTCTAAAGGATAGTACGAAAGCGATTCATATGTCAAGAGGTATTGTTACTATAATGATTCAATACTGTGTGCGAACTAACAATCATGATTCTGTGTATTGTTTCTTGTGCTTCTGCAGATGTGGCCTTCAGGGGAACCCCCTATGCACCTGCAGAGTGCCTCTGCCAGATAAGAAAGCAACCAAGGCAGAGCAAGGAGCACATGTTCTGGGAGATACTCCAATCCTCAGAGGCTGAATAAAGAGAGCGCAGGGAGTGGAGAGACCCTGAAGGAAAAAAATAGAAAGGCAGGACAGAAAGGAGAGTGAGGAGCGCATTGTAAGGGGCCAGGAGCGGATGATAAAAGTGATGGGAGGAGCAAACAGATGTTGAAGTCCCTAATCACGCTCCCTGCAGAACACATGCGTGCTCATCCCCCTCTGCAGCCAATACAGAACTGCTTTCCATGCCCTTCCCAAACTCTTCCCACACGTTCCTTGTAACTTCCCAGAACATCTCGGTACCTCGTTCCCTCCACCCCGACAGACAGCTTCCAAAATGATAGCTGGACTTACACATGGCTTGGAGAACCTACACTGCCTTGCACTCTCATCTCTCTTCCCACCAAGCTTTTTGTGTGTCTTGTTAATTGGTATTTAATAAAAACGAACTCTCTGAAAGATAACCTTCTTTATTTGTCTCCTTCACATGGTGGTTGCTGCTGGTAGTAATACAGTGTCAGTTTGATAATTGGCCGAATACAAATCCCAGTCAAGAAACATCACAATTTTCATGCAAGACGGCAAGTTAACAAACATGGCAGAGTGCTGTATTACTGGGGCTTTATCAAAATGTTGCCTTAAAGCCTCCATGATTTAAATAGCCCGCTGTTGTGCCCCTCTAATAGCCCTGGTATCTGGCTGCTCAAATTCAGCAACCAGGCGATCTGCCTCTGCGCTCCACCCCAGGGGAAACTTTTCACCCTTAGCCTCACAAATAGTATGGAGCATGCAAAATGTTTTCCTCATTTAGGTCTAACCTTCCATAAAGGCATCGCCAGTGCACTTTTAATCTGCCAAAGGCACATTCCATGGTCATTCTGCACCTGCTCAGCCTATTGTTGAAGTACTCCTTGCTGCTGCCCAGGTTTTCTGTGTAAGGCTTCGTGAGCCACGGCTGTAAGGGGTACACTGGATCTTCTAGGATCACGATGGGCATTTCAATATCCCCCACTGAAATCTTCAGGTCTGGAAAGAAAGTCCCTGTTTGGAGCTTTCTGCACAGGCCAGTGTTCCTGGTCAGTAAAACACCCACAGTGATTTACAAGCGCTTGCAGTACCATAGAGAAGTACCCCTTTCTATTGATGTACTCTGTCACAAAATTGGGGCCAAAATTGGATTATGCATGCCATCTATTGCCCCTTTGCAGCTAGAGAATCCACTATTGCTGCAAAGCCATCCACTATTTCACGCACATTGCCAAGAGTCACCGTCCTTTGTAGCAGGATGTGATTAATGGCCTCGCACACTTGAGTTAATGCAGTTCCAAAGGGTCGACTTCCTGACTCTAAACTGATTCATGACTAGTAGCAGTCTGGAGTTGCCAGCTTTCACACTGCGATCGCCATGCGCTTCTCCACCGAGTGGGCATCTTTCATTTTGGTGTCCTTATGCCGCAGAGCTGGGGCAAACTCTGCACACCGTTCCAGGAAGGTGGCTTTCCGCATCCGAAAGTTCTGCAGCCGCTGCTCGTCATCTCAAGACCTGCATAATGATGTGATCCCACCACTCAGTGCTTGTTTCCTGAGCCCAAAAGCGACAGTCCATCATCTTCGGCTGCTCTGTGAATGCCAAAAGTAATCTGGTGTTTCTTTCCCTGGCACACAGCAGGTCAGGCAACTCTGATTCCTGTTCAGATTGGGAGCTCCTGATGTACTGCATGACCATCCGCGATGTGTTCATAACAGTGACTGCAGCAGTAGAGAGCAGTGAGGGATCTATCCTTTCAGACAGAGATGTTGGGCGCACAATAAACGGGCTGTTGAAAAATGCTGCGAATGCTGGGATGGAAAGAACTGCATCATGGGACGTTGAGCCTGCACCCATGATGCACTGCGATCCACTCTGTCTTCCCACAACTCCTAGCTGTAGAAGGTGGCGAGTAGCACAGTGGGATAGCTACCTACAGTGCACTGCTCTCCCCGTCGATGCTAGAGCACTAATTGTGGATGTGCTCTGCTGACAGAAGGAGTTCTAGTGTGAACATGCACAAGCAATGTAATTATACCGGTTTTTGATTGACAGCTTAGCTTACGTCGACAAAACTCTGTAGTGTAGACAAGGCCTCAGACTTTCATTTGGAATGGAGTAACTCCAAACTTGAGATGAATATGCCTTCAATAAAGTGACTAACTCAAGTCTAGAGGATAAGAGGATCCTATCACCTTTATTTTGTAGCCTTGTTGCCTAATGTACATAGATGCGCTGAGAGCATTGTACCATTTACCTTATAACCTGCAATTGCAGAGGTTTCAAGAACCATTTTATTGAAAGCATTGCCTGTTTTGAGACAAGATTCTTATTTACATGTTCGCTATGTAGGAAATCTTGAAGAAACTGGAAAATATTTCATTTAAATGTTCAGCTTGATTTCTGCTGAGTAAACTGTTTACATGTTTATTTTAATGATTTTGGGGAAAACAATAGAAATCATCTACTTGGTGCAATCCGTGCCTTTTTTCTTTCTTTGAGAAGGCAAATGCTACCTTTCACCACTAACTATTAGGAAGATGACAAATGATTGCAGTAAGGTCTACTGATTACAGATTATTTTGAGATAGCAGTATAAGCATTTACATGTGTCCCCGGTACCCCGTCTATTCAAGGTAATTGAAAACAAATTGTAAGATGTTTCCACTCACACAGTCATCTGCTGCTTTTATGATGCTTAATTGTTTTAGGGGTCTGCTTTTTTCAATGTAGGAAATATTTGAAGTTAAAACATTTTGTGTATTATAACTGGTGACATACATAAACTTCAAGGGTGAAAGTATTCCATATCATTTATTTTGAGATACTGCTGGCTATGTTAAGTGTTTTGGGGGCTGACTTTCCAAACTGCTCAGAGTCCAGCAGTTCCCTTTAAAGATAATGAGCCTAAATGGGAACTCAGTTCTTCAAAAAAATCTAGCCATTAACGTTTTTGCTGACGTGGTCGTGGTACTGGCAGAGCATTACCTCCATGAACTGTGGTCAGCCCCGGTCTCAACTCACTCTACAGGGACATACATATATAACATACATTCTGAATGTGTTAGAAACTAAAGGCCTTTTCTCTTGGTTGGAGGGGGGAAGTGTGATTATTAAACTTGGCCATATGATCCTTGAATTGCTTAAATCATACCCTCTAAGTTGACTGCTTGTTCATCTTCAGAGCTGGACATATAAATAATATAAATAAACTTTTGAAGCACATCTTAAATGTGATTATCTTACTTAAATATGTTCCTTTTGTCTTTCATTTCAGGACAGCCCAGAAACTTGCAAGATCTATGCCGAATTAAAATCCGCCAGTGTATAGGCCTTCAAAACCTAAAACTGCTTGATGAACTACCCATTGCCAAGGTCATCAAAGACTATTTAAAACACAAGTTTGATGATATCTGATATCCATGAAGAAAAGAACTCTGAGCAAGCTTAGTAATATTCCAGATACTTAAAGAGGCTTGTTGCCTTGCACAAAGTATATCCTATGCAAATTCTGATTTTTCTGTAAGTCAGAAGGCAGGTATACACTTCCTTGGGTTTTTTATACCACATGCTAGAAGGTCTTAATTTTTTGGTTTCTTGGTCCAAGTTTACAAGGTCCAAGCTTTCTATACAATATTACATTTTAAAAATTTGTTGTTGTGTTTTTTTTAATGAGGCGTGCAGATTTGCAATGGAAATGGAACATAGCGTATTCAAAGGAAGTGATTGGTTCTGATTGGCATGCATAGTATTGTAAGCCATCTGAGCGATTGTTAAACAAAATGAGGTTTGGAGACTAAGGGTATGTCTACACTACCGCGGTAGTTCGACGGCTGGCAATCGAACTTCCGGTTTCGATATATCGCGTCTGGTCTGGACGGGATAATTCGAACCAGGAAGTGCTCGCCGTCGACTGCGGTACTCCACCTCAGCGAGAGGAGTACCGCGGAGTCGACGGGGGAGCCTGCCTGCCGCGTGTGGACCGCGTCTGAACCGCGGTAAATTCGAACTAAGGTATGTCGACTTCAGCTACGTTATTCACGTAGCTGAAGTTGCGTACCTTAGATCGAATTGGGGTGTTAGTGTAGACCAGGCCTAAGGCACCAGTCCTGCAAAGGGACCCATGTGGGCAGACCTTTATGTCCACACAGTCTCTTTGATTGATGGGACTTTGTGTAGGTGTAAACCTCTGCCCATGTGTATCATTTTGAGAATTGTAACCATGGTTTCCTGGGACATACTGTACAAATGCCACGTGGAAACTTTTTAAAAATGCAGTCACCCTGTTCAATTTTAAAATGTATAAGTTGGCTCTTTTTATACTGTTCTTTTCCTAATTCCTGTAGTTTGGATGTCCATAAATCCAGGATCTCTGCTTTCCTGATATTCTCTGTAAGTGGGCTATTGTTTGTAACTATATTTTTAACAGTGACAGTACACTGCACAGAGTCATACAGTCTCTATTTTTTACATTAAGTTAAGGGGAAACAAGTTTAGATTTTGAAGCCAATGTATTCTGTTTCTCATACAGTGCCTCCTGTGCAATAATTTTTCTAATGTATTTTGTCCATGATTGTGTGACTTCCGCACCATTTCTTACTTCGCCTCAATGCATTATTTGTGAAAATCGGAACTGCTGCTTTATTGTAGCATTGATGCAGAAATGCTATAATGATGTGTCAGTTGCTGTTACAATCCCTGAATTTGTTGAATGTATAACTTGGCTGTTTTATTTCCCTTTGAGATGAAATTTCGCATACAGCTTGTTAGGCCAGATCTCTCTTTAAATTGCTATTATTCAGCTAAGTCATTTTATTTTAAAGGGGTTAAAAAAAATTTTTGTTGCATTCAAATTTTTTTGATTTGCTTGAAGTTGACTAGGATGTAGTCTCCCTTGATAAGTGCACATAACCCCCATTAATTTGGGTGTTCCTTGTGCACTGACAAGAAAATAGTCCCCGTAGCATTAGAAGCTTAAATTTTGCAAACACTAAGTGGGTGGTTCTTAACCTGAAACCGGCAAGTGATTCCAGTCGTTCAATTTTCCTTTTTTGTTTTCATCATAAGCATTAATAAAGAGCCTGTTCCTAGTTGCCAATGGAAATAGAAGGCCTCAGCACCAAACAGAAATGGGCCAAAAATGTGCAACCATTTCACTGTTTTCATGTTCAAGGGATTATGGAGTCAGTATAAAGTTCTTGTTGATGTGTTCTACTCCTGCTTTGCCATTGTAGTGGCTCCAAAAGAGCCTTTATAATATCAGCAGTTCTCTCATACTAGTGATTTCAATGGAAGCTGGGAGATTGGGGAAACCACATTGACTCTTCATTTTTCACACTGTCCCTTTCAAAATGTTACATAATTTTTTTTTAAAAAAGGTGAAAGCAAGGAAAGCAAGTACATTTAGATTAACTCTGCTGGTTCAGCCCTAATTCCTTGAAGCCAGGGATTGTAGTTTCCTCAAGCACAAATCTTATTGCTAATGATGGATGCACAGGAACCAAGGCAGCAAGGATTATCTCACCCTATTGTGCCTAGCCTTGCACAGGTTTCCGAACAATGGGTGATTTTAGAGACTCAGTGGCTCAGAGAAGGGGTAGCAGGATGTGGAGTCTTTCATCTCTGACTCACCAGTTCAAATCAAACCTGCTTCATCAGTGACCAAAAGTTAATATAACAGCAGCCTGTAGGAAGCGAGTTTGTCAGCTGTCCACACCACACACCAGTCACCACAGTTGTTGCTAATGTAGACCCTTATTGGCAGCCTCAGCAAAGAGGCCAGAGAATAACTGGGAAAGACAACTCTCCTCTATATATAGTGCTTCCTCTAGGTCAGGGGTCGGCAACGTTTGGCACGCAGCTCGCCAGGGTAAGCACCCTGGCGGGCCGGGCCTGTTTTATTTACCTGCTGACGCGGCAGGTTCGGCCGATCGCGGTCCCCACTGGCCGCGGTTCGCCGTCCCGGGCCAATGGGGATGGCGAGAAGCGGCGCTGGCGAGCGATGTGCTGGCCGCGGCTTCTCGCCGCCCCCATTGGCCCGGGACGGTGAACCGCAGCCAGTGGGGGCCGCGATCGGCCGAACCTGCCACGTCAGCAGGTAAATAAAACAGGCCCGGCCCGCCAGGGTGCTTACCCTGGCGAGCCGCGTGCCGAACGTTGCCGACCCCTGCTCTAGGTCATGAAGCACATTGGTGGCATTATAGTGTGGAGAGAGAGAGAGAGAGAGTGCTGTTCAGTAGTACCTTTAATGAATACTCAAAACACCTTAACGGCTGATCTCTTCTGCTTTATGTTCTGCAGTACCTAGGCATACTGAGGCACATTAGGAATGGGATGGCAGCTCTTAACTCTGATTCTTCAGTTTAGTTACGTAGATACAGAACCTTAACATTCTTTGTTTAAAGTATTTAATATTGTTCATCTGCTTTCCTAAGTAACTGGCTTGGTTTTAAACCATTTTCTTCCCCATCAGTGAAGGTGCATTTTTACAGGAATCTTTTCTGAAATAATTTAGACTGTATCTTAGTCAGAATCCATATTAAGATAAATTATTTGTTCTGTCTTGCTGCTGTGACTTCAGAAAATTATGGAAGACCTTGCTGGTAACAAAACTGCTATTTAATGAAGAAGTGTGTCATTCCATTATTTATTGAGTTAGGTTTGGTATTTTTAGTAACTGACATTTAAAGGAAACACTTTTACATTTTAGGCCAGTGCAAAACCTTTCTTAAAAAAAAATTTAAAAAAAAAAATGCAGAAGTCTAATCCCCTTTAGGAAGGATAAATTGTCAAAGGACCTGATCCAAATCCCACTGCTGTCAATGGAAAGACTTCCACTGGGCTTTGGATCAGGCCTTAGGGCTCCGATTCAGCAAAGCACTTACGGTCTTACAGATAAGCATGTGCTTGAGTAGTCCTATTGACCTCAGTGGGACTATTTATATACTTAAACTGTAGCACGTAATTAAGTTAGTAAAGTACAGGGTTTATTCATCATTCAAGCCAACTAGTTTTGAATGTTGTGGATCTATTCTGTTGTCACTCTCTTAAATGGGTATAATGCACAAGTAGTTAGAAAACAGAAAGTGATTTGTTTTTTCCATAATCTTTTGAATTAGAATGTGGAAAGATGAGTACATAATAGAAATGTATTACATATCCTAATTTCATTCCCTTAATATACATTGGTGG